AGAGGGAGAATGGTTTCTGGCTTTCCATGCGTTACAATGTCGCTAAGGGCTCCAGGAGATTGTCCGACCATCCACCTTTTCATTTGTCTTACTCCTCCTCCACTCCTCTTCCTCCTCCTCCTCCTCCTCCTCCTCCTCCTCGTCCCCATCGGCACCATCATACTTGAGTCCTTGACGAAGTCGGCAACTGCTTTCACCTTCGCTTTGGCGATGTCGCCCTTCTCCTCCACCGCTTTGGCGTTCTTCTCAACCTTGGGCCCCGGATGCAAGACCGGCTGGTTGCTACAAGGGTGAATGAGGAGACGGGGGAGCCAACGGAGAGACGGGGGAGCCAACGGAGAACCAGCACGAGGGTGGGGGGGAGGCAGAAGGAGGAATCAGTACCAAGGAGCCCCTCCTTCTGCAGTGGTGAGCAGCTGTGCGCGGGAGCGCGACCAGAGGATCTGGAATGACAGTTATATAGGAGGAGGAGGAGGAGGAGGAGGAGGAGGAGGAGGAGGAGGAGGAGGAGGAGGAGGACGAAGGGGGAACGGCAGCGGCAATGGCAAGAGGAGCAGGGCGACCCAAGGCGACGCTGGAGAAGGAGGAGTAGGCGGCGAACCACGGTGGGGGGGGGTGGAAGAGAGAGGGGGGGCAAGCCTCCTCAGAAGGCGCCGGGGCTTCTCAGAAAACCTTGAGCAGCCTGAGAAGACCTGGGTGGGGCCTTCTGAGAAGCCCTCCGTGCCTTCGGCGAGGCTTAGACAGCTGCTCAGGAGGCCAGACTAAACCTTCTGGGAGGGGCCCACCTCCTCTGCCTCGCCCCCAAGGGCGCGCCGCCGAGTGAGGAGGGGGCGAGTGAGGACGCCGAGCTGATTAGAAGGGCGAGAACGTCGACGACGACGACGACGAGGACCAGCACGCCGAACGGAGGGAGGGAGAGCAATGGGGAGGCGAGGCCAAGAGCGGAGTGGAGGAGGTGCACGGGCTTCGGTGCGCCTTTGCTCGCCTGGGTGATGTCGAGCCTCCCCAGGGCAGTGCTCGAGGCAGAGCGAGGCCCTGTCGGATCCATGGGACGCACTGCCTCTCCCCGTCTTCTCTGGGCCCCAATCTGACCACTCTTTCCGCCCCTCGCGGGCCTATTCAACGCCTCCCTCGTTCGTCGAGTGGGGCTTGGCCGATGGGCGACGATGTCTATACAGATGTCGGCCGCGACCGACCAGGCCCATCCTGGGTCCAAGAGCGGTGCGTGCGCCCCCCTGACTTGGCCACGAAGGCACGTGCGCCGATCCTGGGCCCACGATGGGCCTGGCTGGGGGCAGTGGATGTCTGCACGCACCCCGTGCCAGATCTGGCTCGCCCCAACCACATAAGGAACGCGGACGACAGGGGAGGTCATCGGTGGACCGCGCGCTCCTCGACCTCGGGAGGCGACGCCGAGATCGGCATGCCTGACCCCCCCTCCCTGGAGGCACCTGAAAGTAGGGCCAGAGAAGGTGGGGTCGCAGGATCACGCCGCACCGACGATGCGTCGGCGATTGCGGAATGGAGAACATCGGACTCCAGATCGCCGATGGATCAGCGACGCAGCGCGACCGATCCCTTCCACTCTGGCCCAAATTCGGGTGACTAAGACTCCTCTGGCCTCGCTCGTTCTCCTTCTCCTCCTCCTTCTCCTCCTTCTCCTGATCCTCTTCCTCCTCCGCCTCTGGCTTCGGCACTCCTCCTCCTCCTCCTCCTCCTCCTCTTCCGCGTCCTTCTCCTGTTCCCGATCCTCCTCCTCCTCCTCCTCCTCCTCCTCCTCCTGATACTCCTCCTCCTCCTCCTCCTCCTCCTCCTCCTCCTCCTCCTGATCAGCCTCGGCCCGTCCTCCTCCTGATCGTTCGCCTTCCTCTCCTCCTCCTTCTCCTCCTCCTCATCTTCCTCCTCCTCCTTTCTCTTCTCGTCGCCTCGTTCCCAATCCCCCCTCCCGCTCCTCCCTTCGACAAGCAGTGATGGTCATCCTGGCAGAAGGTGTTCTGGACACGCGGGCTGGGCGCCAAGGACGAGATGCAGAGGACGCGCGGGCAGTGCGCCAAAGGCGGCGGCGGGCTGTGAGGTGCGCACGAGGACAGCGTGCTCGACGCCAGCGGCTCTCGCATGGTTGGTCGGCATCGGAATCGAGAGAGTCGGATCGAGTCGGGGGAGTCGATTCGCACTCACCCTACGCAAGCCGCCGACTCTCCTCCTCCTCCTCCTCCTCTTCCTCCTCCCCCTCCTCTCCCTCTCCCTCCCCCTCCCCCTCCCCCTCCCCCTCCTCCTCCTCCTCCTCCTCCTCCTCCTCCTCCTCCTGATCCTCTTCCTCCCACTCCTGAGCCGCCCCCCCGCATCCCCGACGGACGCAGTGGAGATCGGCCGTTCGACCAGCGCCCACGCGTAAGGCGAGGGCAGGGCACCAGTACGAACAGATCGGGTGCTGTGCGAACTCTGAGGTCCGGCGGCGCGTCAGATATTGCAACAAGGGCTCCCAACTTCGCGCTTCGCG